GCAGTTGGACATAGTGGTGTATTAGAGGTAAAAAATGATATAAATACTGTTCAGTTTCTCGCACAAACCGATCGTTTCGTGTCTTAGGACATCATTGTGTCATCACGAGCCGCAGGGTTTAATTTGGATTTGTCTGAACAAAGTCACCTACATCTTGGATGCCCTGGGGGTAAGCAGATAAACATCAAATTTTCATTTTTGGGTGAACTATCCCTTTAAGTGTAACGACAAGAACTCTCCAGCGTGACGTTGGCGCTAGAGATCACATCTTTCAGTCTGCAGTGCATTATGTCAGAGGAAAACAAATCGGAAATAACGCCGCTGACGGACGGAAGTTTGCATGTTCAAGATGGCGCTGGACGGGATCGAGCAAGTAAGTGATATTTTTGTGTTAAATCTTGAAATATGAACAGCACAGTTAGCTGTGTTTTATAATTCAGCAACACATATTGAATATGAGGAACGTGCTGTAACTGTAGTGTTAGGAAATATAAGATAGAATGTTTGACTTTAAGACGCGTTTGCTCCGAGTGAAGCAGAGTTTGCTGTCTCATTGTGTCACACTGACTAGGACTGATCATAACATGGGATAAGTAGTTACAACATGACAAATAATTAATGTTTTGCTATAACATGCAGTATCACTGATAATAACAATAGAAATTTCTCTTGTCTAATAATAAGAGAAGTCTCCGATAATCAAAACTCTGATTATAACAGAGAATCAAAATCGCTCGTGTCTGATCATAACATCATAACAGAAATCTCAACTCTCTAACATGAGGAATCTCTCATTAATGATCATAACATGCTAAATGGTTCATTTCTAAGAAAACATCGTGAATCATCACTTTACTTCATCCGGCACTGTTACACTACCTGACTATTAATAAACCGACATTTTATGTTATTAATATTATTGTTAATAATATTTTTTTCCAGATGGATATTGAGGACAGTAAAGGAGGCACTGGTCTCCGACAGTATTACCTGTCTAAAATTGAGGAGCTTCAGGTAAGAATAGCCATGAAATAGTTTGACTGACAGCATTAACGATGTTAAGGACCCTTGTAAAAAAAAAAGAAGTAGCCTACACTTTAGTATGCTTGTAAAAAGAGTGTTTATTACGGAAATAATATAATTTAAAAGAATATTTTGACAAATGAATGTAATGTTATTGGACACTTAATACTGTTTTATATTTTAAATTTCTATTAAATTCAGGTCGTTGAACTTCAGAGAGTTTTGACCCACTTAAGTACATCTTTATAATATGTCATTTCATAATTCTATTGTTTTAGAAATATGATTAAAGTGTACTGCTGAATGTACTGACAAGCATTTATGATCAACTAAAATATACTTCCATGCCATTTCTATTAAAACTTGTATGTCATGTATTAAAATATTGTTGTAATAGCATATTTGTAATGATAAAGCAGCAATTTTGAAAATTTTAAATATATTACCTTTCAGTGATATATCAACTAAAATTATAATCAAGAACTTTACATGGGATTTATTATGTTAGACAACACATCAAAAAAAATGTAGTTCATTAAAACACAACCATAAATTTAAACATAATGTTTTAAAATGTACTTTAAGTACACTTAAGTGACTTTTTCTCATTCATATTATCTGCAACTACATTTTATTTTAAAAAATTTGAAGTACACTACAAATGCAGATTCAATACAATTAAACACGCTTCTTTTTCACAAGGGTATGTTATGTCTAAATGTGCTTGTCTCTTTACTCAGTTGACAGTGAATGATAAAAGCCAAAATCTCAGACGTCTGCAGGCTCAAAGGAACGAGTTAAATGCTAAGGGTAAAGCCATTTCAACCAGCTTTCTCATAAATGTCACTTTGTGGTGTTCAAATGCATATGCCAAATAGAATATGCTGAATATGTCATCAGTATGTAATTTGTGCTGTTTCTTTTAGTGCGCCTCCTGCGTGAAGAGCTTCAGTTGCTGCAGGAGCAGGGGTCTTATGTAGGAGAGGTGGTGAGAGCCATGGACAAGAAGAAAGTGCTGGTCAAGGTTTGAGAGCCATGATTTCCTGTTTAATTTCATGAGCATGATTTGTGCTGAGATGTAACTGCAGTTTTGTTAATCATTTGTATTTATGCTTTGTCTTTAGGTGCATCCTGAAGGAAAGTTTGTAGTGGATGTGGATAAGAACATTGATATAAATGATGTAAGTGTTTTGTTTTGGGTTTTTACTAAGGCTGGTTAAACTGATAATCATGATTATTTTGCTCAAAAATTATAATCACCATTATTAATCACAATTATTAAGAGAACATCAACTCATACGCAGGGTGTATTTTTCATCATCTAGTTTCCTGTTATGTCCTATTGATATTATATACATTAACACACTCTTTACATTATAAAAACTGGTAAAACTCTTTAAGAAGTTTCTCTCAAAAGCTAAAACAGTAAAATTCCTAATAATAATTTAATAATAACAAATTATGGAACCGTATATCTATTAAAACAAGCAAAAAAAGACTCATGACGCATTGAGGTTGCATAAGTGCATGTATTCAGCAACCACAATCGCAAACAATATAGTTGAGATTAATGAAAAACAATATAGTCGGGATTCATGTTTGGATTTATTACAGTTAATCACTCCGAAGGTTTGCTCGCAGATTTAGTCACTGCAAATAGCACAAACGGCCTCTGCGCATGGTTGTCAGGTTGAGAAGATTAAATAAAAGACAAAATGTATCATTTTAAAAGAAATTGGGGGATTTAAACTCTTGACATCTGGCAACCCCCCAGATAATACTTATACAAGGTATTGGTAGTGTCAAAAAAAAAAAAAAAACATTTTTACATTAAATAACCACATTAAAGAAGCCAAAATATTGGTCACAAATTACAATTAAATGTGCATCCCTAGTTTTTACAGTCACAAATGCTACCTCAGAATTTCAGGAGAGGATACAGTTTTTGTCTGGTGGCTCATAAAATATAAAAGTTTTTAAAAAATGTACTTGTAGATTTTTTTGCATTAATGTTGATAGTAAACTAAATCCTAATTTCCAACAGGTAACTCCCAATTGCCGTGTAGCACTTCGAAATGACAGTTACACACTTCACAAAATCCTGCCAAACAAAGTTGACCCGCTCGTCTCACTGATGATGGTGGAAAAAGTGCCAGATTCAACGTACGAGATGATTGGAGGGCTGGACAAACAGATCAAAGAGATCAAGGAAGTGATTGAGCTTCCAGTCAAGCACCCAGAATTGTTTGAGGCTCTAGGAATTGCGCAGCCTAAGGCAAGTGATGACATAGCTTATTCATGTCAGGACACTGACCAAACAACAGCTCGACAATAACTAACGCTGCATGCAGCTTCTTTGTGCTGTCACAATAATGTCATGTAAAAGAGTGCTACCTTCTCAATAGTAGGTCTGTTGGCCTGCCAGATCTACTTCATCTTCTGTAATGTTTTGTTGGTCTGCAGGGTGTGCTGCTGTATGGACCTCCTGGAACTGGAAAGACCCTGTTAGCCAGAGCTGTGGCCCATCACACTGACTGCACCTTCATCAGGGTGTCTGGGTCAGAGCTGGTGCAGAAATTCATAGGAGAAGGTCGGTTGTGCTTCCAGACAAATCATATTTTTTTCTGTGGAACCCAAAAGGAGATGTTTAGCAGAATGTTCTTGCTGCTCTTTTCCTTATTATAAAATCATATATTGCTCTGAAAGATCTTTTTTATTTTTATTTTTTTTTAATTAGTCTGATTTATCCTTGTTTGGCTCTGTGTGTGTCCAGGAGCTCGTATGGTGCGTGAGCTGTTCGTCATGGCCAGGGAACATGCGCCCTCCATCATCTTCATGGATGAGATCGACTCCATCGGCTCGTCTCGGCTGGAGGGTGGATCAGGAGGAGACAGTGAGGTGCAGAGAACTATGCTGGAGCTCCTCAACCAGCTGGATGGGTTTGAGGCCACCAAGAACATCAAGGTGAGAAACAAACACCTGTAACCTATGTGCTGATCCTAACATGAAAAGGGGTCTCATCTCTGATTTTAGAACTTGGTAGCTTTTTATTGAATTCGTAAAACGCATAGTTGTGAAAACACAGCATGACTTAGTGTGATTGTAAAATACTGAGATTTAATTATAGAAAAATCTGCTACACTGCATTTCAAGTGTGGCACTGTGGTCTTTTACACATGAGCAACTCATGATCTAGAGTTTTCAGTGTCTCAGAGCAGCTCAGTTCACAATAAAACTGCTCCACACGGACTCCATCTCTGCAAGCGTTGTGAGTTGGGGTCACTTGTAATGTGCATTTGAAAATGTGACACACGTCAACAACCTTCCCAAAATGATATGCAGATTCACACATAAACCTTAGTCGATCAAAGAGAAGCTTCAAGGGCTCCATTTGGTTTTCCGCCAAATTAAAATCTCTATAGTTCAACATTTGAAAGAAATCAGCAACAACAATAATAATAATATATTGCTATTCAAAATATTATTTAATTTATAACATCAATAAAGAAATATATTAGTAGTGTACTATTAAAAAAGTTTTTAATGATTATTATTATTATTAAATGCTCTGATTTTAGCTTTTGTTTTTGGAATTTGAATAAATTAAATTATTAATGATAATATAATAATCGTTTATATTTTTGTTGTTGTTGTATAGTGTGTACTGAATAGAGAAAACAAAGCATGTTTTCCATCTTTTTTGTCTTTTGATGATCACATGCCTTAGTACTATTAAAAGCTGTTTGCAAAAAACTGGTCAGAGGGTATGGTTACCAGACATTGCTCATTCAACTGCTTTTCCAAACATCTCCACCAGGGGTGCTGTGACCAAACAAAACTACTCCAACTAACATTGATACTATTTCTGTGCTTGGCTCCAGCTGTATTTTTATCATTTTCTTTAAGGAAAGTCTGAGTTAACTGAATATGTTCTTGTTTCCCTCAGGTTATCATGGCAACAAACCGTATCGACATTCTAGACTCTGCACTTCTTCGACCAGGCCGCATTGACAGGAAGATTGAATTTCCCCCTCCCAATGAAGAGGTTAGCTGGGATCGCTATGTATTTTTAAGTTTTCAATATCATCTTGATACTGAAATACTGATTGATACTGATACTTCTGTTTTTGTATAACTCTCTATTATTGAAAGTATAAATACTAGCAGTAACCTCATAGTGTTATGTTGTCCTCCTCAGGCTCGTTTGGATATTCTGAAGATTCACTCCCGTAAGATGAACCTGACGCGTGGTATTAACCTGCGCAAGATTGCCGAGCTGATGCCAGGAGCGTCTGGTGCTGAGGTCAAGGTGAGTAGAGCCCTGCACGGGCCTCAAATTTAGGCCCTAGCCTGGCCCTGGCCCGAGACGCTCAGGCCCTAGTGTCCCGTGTCCCCTGGCCCGTGTCCGACAGCTCACGGGCTCATCAGAATTCTTGGCCCGATTCTGACCCGAGCCCATCTTTTTTTCCCCCTTCTCCCAAAACAGCTTATACTACTGTTTCAGCTATTAAAATGGTTCAGTTTTGTATGTAATGTCAAAGTGATTATATTTCTTTCGTTTTTTTTAATTAAGTTAATTTAGAAAAACGTTTGGAGCATTTTTTTGTTCGTTAAATGTACGTTTTTTTGTTTTTTAAAGTAACGACCAATCGGCCAGCGGCAGACAGTGAGCTGATAGCCTATGTTTGATCAATTTAGCCTTCTCAAATCATCACGACTTGCCTAAAATAAAATCTATAGATATAAAACGGTTCAAGCATATCACAATGTTAGTTGAAATGTTTAACCTATAAATGTGCGCTATTAG